AAAGTACCATGGGCTGCCAATAGAACCAACAGATCTGTGTTGGAAGAAGTGCAGCCAGAGCGCTCCTTGGAGGCCAAGATGCCCAAACTTCGGACATATTGTCAGGAGGGAGCAGTTGCTGGAGAAGGATATCATGTTTGGTAAGGTGGGAGGGTCAGAGAAAAAGAGGAAAATCCCCAGCGAGATGGACTGGCCAAGTGGCAGCATCAACGGGCTAAAGCGTGGCAACAATAGTGAGGTTGGCTCAGGATCGAGCAGTGTTTCGTTATGCTGTGCATAAGGTCATTATTAGTTGGTGCCGACTTGATGGCACGCAACAACAACAACAACAACAAAGTGTAGTATACACTTAACGTTGACTTGCTAAGTATTTTCAGGTCTCAAATATAACCTGTTCTCTAGTCTTCTCTACTATGTTTTTGTTGTTGTTAACACTGTGTATTAACATTTTGGCTTTCATCCTCCAAATAACCATCAGAAAAGTATTAAAAAATGAGGCCTGGGAAAAATCACATTAACTTTTTATAGAATGAATGATCTTTACAAGAAAGGTACAAGTAACCCTTGCTTTTCAATAGTTCACTTTAATAGAAGACCTACATCAGTACCTGTTTTTGCTAACACAGGAAATGGAAGAGGATTTCGCTTCTGCATGTTTTCTATGGAGCCCTGAGCTGCTGCGTGCACCCCAGTGGTGTTGCCACATTCCCTCCCCAGGAACTACACTGTACAGTCGGTATTTTATACAGGCTGCATGTTTATTCTATCGTTCCTGCTTCTACTGCATGTTAGAGTTATTTTAGGGTTATACGTCGGTCACTTGGCATAATTTCGTAGGTTGTATTTTGGTTCTGCTAATGCTAAAATTATTTCCCCACATAAATGAATAGTAATTGCTTCTTCACTTCAGCTTACAAAAGGTTTCATAGGAACCCTCTCCTTTCAGATAGAGGGAGAAACCTATGGCTCCAAGTTAGGAGAACTACAAAGTGGGCTAATTTTCTGAAGGCAAGAAAAATGTTCATGCTTTTGACTTGACATTCTCCGACACTACACCCACTGAGAAAGAAGGGTGTTGTTAGCTGCCATCAGGTTGGTCCTTGACTCACGGCCACTCCGTGAAGTTTCACTTGAGTGACACTGTTCCATAGGGAAGCAGAATGACAGGCCTTTTCTCCTAGGTTGCTGTTGGGTGGTTACAACTGGAAGCCTCTCGGTTAGCAGCCGATCGCAAACTACTATAAACACTTCAAACATCTGTTACTATGGAGTCAATCCTGATTCACAGCAGCCACTGGGTTTCCAAAACTGTAACCTTTAGAAAAGCGGACTGCCTCATCTTTTCCCTGTGGGATCAGACCGCCAACTTTTCAGTTGGCAACCTAGTGCTTACCGGGTTGCAGAGCCTGAGAACCCTGGGCTCCCAGCTGATAGGTCCTCCACTGAGCTTTAATGTATAGTCAGAGATGAGAGCGTCACATCAGGGAGCCAAGGCCATAATCCCATGTAACCCAAACAGTTCAGTACTAAAGTGGGAGGTAACTGGTTTATTTTATTATTAACAATTAGCAGCTTATGATCTTCAAGGCAATCTCAGAGGCACAAACACATTGATTTTACAGATTCTTTAAAGAGATGAAAGATCCATCACAAAAGCACCCTGTAATAGACCAGTGAAACAAAATGAACACTCCTAATGGGGGACTGCCTCCTTGAAACAAAAATCTTTCAAGAACAAAACAAAAAAGCATTTTTATAAAATTAACAATGATAAACAGAGAAAGGAAAAGTCAGCTTCTACTTAATTTTGCTTTATTAAAAAACAAAAACCACCAACTCAAAAGAGTAGAAAAAGTACAATATTAATTAAAAAAATACCTGTGTGCATTTAGTTCTTAAATAGTTTAGTTTTTAGACTAACTCAGTATTAAAAACCTAGTCTTTCTCAGGAAGCCATGGCAAATCCAAGACTCACTCTGTAGCTATTAACAATCCTCTTTATCAATGGAATCAAGGGGCCACTTCCTTAAACAGAGCTCCTCTCAGTAAGATCGTTTTAATCTCATGTCAACAGACACAATGGGTTTGAAAGAACTGGATCTTTCGAAGTCCATTTTTATTTTTAAAACAACTTTACTATTTGATTCTATTCATTGTAGAAAAATGTGAAGATACAGAAAACTAGAAAGAAAATGAAAGCAACCCAGTAAACCCTCCTTCAAATAGGAACTAGAGTATATGTATTCCTCTCTAGGGTTTTGTACAATGACAGTATTTTAAGACCGAGTTAGAACTGTTGATGCTTACATGTCCTCTCCCCCACTTCCTACTAATAGAGCAACCATTGCTGTAAGACATTAAATATTATGTGAAAACATGATCTTCAGCTGGCTGCTTCAAAGTCGTATTATGGCTAACCTATAATTTACCTTCTATTGTTGAATTTTCAGGTTTCGATTTTTGCTAGTTTAATGAATACTATACGAAACATCCTTTTATACAAAATTCTTCATATGCATCTCAGATAATTTTGAAAAGATAAATTCTTATAAGTAATCAGCTCAGAGTATAAATGTATCTTTTAAAGTATCTAGATATATTTTATACTGTTCTTCAGAAAGACTGTACCAATTTACAGCTACATCAATAAACAGCCCAAGTCCCATTTCTTCTGTATGCGCCCATAAAGTGGATGTGACTCACTGCCCTTTATCTTGCTAATCTAACAGGGGGAGGGGAGTTGGTATCTCCTTGTCTGTTTTTGTAAAACGTGAGTTGTTCTTCTGCATTCTTACTGGTCATTTACTTCTCTCATTTTCTCTGGAACAGCCTGTACTGCAAAAGGAGCGTTTAACACGTGCAATTTCTTGTCTTTCTTCTTAAGCAGGAAAGCTGCAGGTTTATTGTCCATGTTTTTTTTAAGTTCAGCAGGAACTCACGAAGTTTTCTTTTCTCCTGGGCAGCCATGTTATTTTAATGTCTTGGTACTAACACTGAAAACTGGGCCATATTCTGAAAGAAAGCAGGGACAGATTAGGATGAACCAAGGACTCACTAGCAGGCAGTGGTTTTCATACTTGGGTGAGCATGGTAATAGCATATGGAGTGCTTATTAAAAACCAGATTCTGATCTGCTCAAGGGAGAACTGATGTAATAAGAACTCTGAATAAGCGCTCTGGAAAAAACAGAGTTCAAAACCCATCAGCGAGAATTGGAAGTCAAGGTATAAGTCTTAGAACCTCCTGTCTGTTTCCTGCAGACAGTTTCTAATGTTCATATCCAAGGAGTGCTCTGATTCTCACTATTTCCATCGTCTCTGACATCTAAGAGAAGGCATTATATACACCACAACCCACACTGAGTTAGGGTTTATACCATCTCTCCCTTTCCAGGCAAGAGATCTGCATTTGATTTCTGGTCAATGCACTTGTAGCACAGTTGCCATCCGTCTGGCAGTGGAGCTATGGGCACGCTATGGTTCTCAGTAGGTTTCAGCAGAGCTTTCAGACTAAGAGGGACTAGGAAGAAAGGCCTGGTGAGTTACTTATGAAATAAACACAGCCAATGAAAACCCTATGGGTCACAATGGTCGGATCCTATTGTGCATGGGGTAGTCATGAGTCAAGTGCAGTCTTGATGGCAGACAACAGCATTATTATACACCTGATTCCACTGTAGAAAAAATAATGTCCATTTAAAAGCTGTCAGAATCTCCAAACAGACTAGGGTCTTCTTTATCACAGTAAACCTAATGTATCTTTGTAAACAGGAGCTTGTGGTTGCGCACAGAAATAGTTCTGAATTAAATTAGTGAGCAAATGAATGGTTTTACATTTCAGTGCTTAGAAGACTGGACCATCCAGAATACAGGCTTATTCTCCTGCATGCTTTCAAGCTACAGGATGGAGGAGGCCACAATCGTCAATTTTGTCTAGAGCAGGGATGACTTATTTTCTCTTTTCAGGTTATATGTCCCTTTTGAGAACTGGATTATTCTTCCCCACTGATTATACTATACACACACCAAGCCTCTTTAGAAATGTACGCATACAAAAACATGCAATTTTACACATACTTCCAGAAGACTCACAAAAGGAAAAGAGAACATTGATTTCTACCATTCAATTATTTTTACTTAAATAAAATAAAGCTGAAGTAATAATAAATCCAATGTTTGAGTATTTCTATTTGAGGTCAAGAAACTGTGACTAAAACGGACAACTGAATTTATACACGTACAAAGTGGAGAGATAGCAAATGCTGATGTACATACGTGGCACTGTGGGCTAATGCGTCAGACTGCAAAGTCATTTGAACTGCAAGGTTGGTGGTTCAAGCTCACCGGGGGCTCCTTGGAAACCCTACACAGGGTCGCTATGGGTTGGGATCCACTTGATGGCACTTAACAACAACAACAATCAAATCAAAACGAAATCACCAGAGTATGAAGGTTTCCTAATATGTAACTGTCATAAGGTCCTCTCCCTCGCATTAGCCTCGGCAGCAGTAAAAGCGTCAGACTTCTAACACTTTGTTTCCTTCAGTCAAGCAGGAGTTGGTGCTCCACACGCTCTTTACCCTTAACAAAGACAAATAAAAAAGCGACTATTTCATGTCTAAATGGACACTCCCTAACCCACAGAATTTAATTTCCCATTTCTCTTTCCTCCTTTCTTTAATATATGATGTTATACCCATGATAGACAGGGGCTATTAGGTTCACAAAGCCAAAGTTATCTCTTTAATATACAGTGCTGAAACCAACAGATGTCTCCCTGCTGCTTATGGACATGGTCTGAAGGTGTTTAAACATTTCAGTATGGCTGACTTTGCTTTTCCAGAAGACACTGTGGAATGCTGGGATATGCTTGTGTCAGCTACAAGAGCCAATTGTGTGTCTGGTTCCCAACTACTCAGTGACTTCATGTTGGAAATTTTTATACCACAAATATGCTGAAGTCAGCAAACACTATACATCAGCCCCATCTGCAGCAGTTCTCCATGTTTAACCACCGTCTGAGGGTCTCTAGAACGGCACTTTCTTACTCAGGGCTCCTAGGTCTAATTTAGGTGGGGAAGACCCGTATCAACTTTTCAAATTCTTTCTCAACTACTGCTAAAGTTTTCAAGAGTACAGTGTGTTCTAAGAGACCCCAGGGTATGCTGGCTACTCTCACTGAAGGCAGGTGAATGCAATATCCACTTGAGGCAAACTCCTTATCTTTTGTGGTTAAGCAAGAGTCACAAAACGTCCAAATAAAGCTCCTGCATCTCTGAGCTTATCAGTCCATTATAGACTAGAGCTGGAATGTTAAAAACCTATAATCCATCTTATGCTTTATCAGGAATGACTATCTTAGGCTGAAGCAACATTATTGTATTTTTACGCAAATAGCTTGTGGGTTATACATTTTTTGACCAAATGCACACCCCTTCCCCAAGCTATTTTCCTAAATGTTCCATACCATACATTTTATGGGTGAGTGTTTATCTGGGGAAAAAAAATATGGTGACCTTCATCAGACCTTCCCAGCACCATTTTGGTATTGCTGATGACAATGCTCTGACTTTAAAGGCCTGCAGACATTTTGCATGAATCTTTCAAAGAGAAAGTAAGTTTGGAGCCAGTGTAAGCCAATACAGAAAGTACCATCAGCCATCTGAAAATAAGATGAAGGGACACACTGTGGTACATTAGACCAAAACTCTTGCACTTTATCCTTTAATGGACTTGTATGAGCAGCCCATAGCATGACTATTCAATTTAGCATATGGTTAGCATGGTAATCAATGGCATGAGGATTTGCTAAAGACATATCAGTTCACACACATGAGGTGGTAGAACTGTAAATAGGAGAAAAGGTAGCTGAAGCTCTCTGTAGTGTTTGATGCCTACAGAAGGCTGAAGACACTTACCTTCAGGTTATGGAGGGTTTCGGACCACTCCATGGACCCTATCTGAGGTATGGTAGTGAGAAGTAAACTTTTGGCTTTATTGGCATTTTCTTTTAGGTTCTTTAGGACCTTGTCCACTGAAACCTAGAGAAACAATAGCACAGGATTTTAGTAGCTGTTTCAATGTCCACTCCTTTTCGTGGGTCACAATCTCACTTCTGCCTGAGTCCCAAGCTGATGTTTCAGTTCTCTGTGCCCAAGCTCAGCATGTGCATCCATGGTTGCTTGTTTTTTTGTTTTTAATTTTGAAGTACCAATGGCATCTCTGCAAAACACCCAGGTTTCAATGGGTCTGAGAATTGACTGCAGATGTACAATATGTTAGAAAGATACAGTGGATTCCTCAAGTACAACGCAGAACTGATCTCAGTCTTCAAACCATCACAACACTGGGTAACAAACAGACGATATACTTGTTTTGAGAAAAATATCCTAGTTAATAAACAGATAAACGATGGAATCAAAAGTATCAGCATGTTTACAGTCCTTAATGAATCAGCTAGTAACATCATACATACGTATGGCACCAGTCATTATGTTACTAATTCCTGGTGGAAGGACAGTTTAATATATTTCCCCATCCTCTGTATTTTCTGGAAGTTGGTAGTTAGAGCCAGAAATTTCATTGGATTCTGATGGCAACTGAATCCAATGAAATCTCTAGCTCCAACTACCAACTTACAGAGGATGGGGAAACATATTAGACTACCCAAGGAAATGACTTCAGTGACCCCAACAGTGGAACACTTTCTAGAATAAATGACCTTGTCTTTTTAGAAAACCTAAAAGGAAAAAAAAAACCTCACATGATTTCTCTATGATAATTTATGACATCTGTGGTAACTGGAGACTTGGAACTTTTGCTTAGATACGATACTGAGATATTATTGTTGGGGTGTGATAATGTGGTTATGTTAGACACCTTCTGGAATATTTATAGGTGAAATTATGGATGGGGGTATCGACACAATAAATTGTGCTGATAATCGTGGAAGCTGGATGTTAGATACATAGAAGCTTAGACTTTTGAGTAGGAATGAAACTCTTTCTTGTGGAAAATCTGAAAAAAGTTGTGAATGTACACAATGGACCAGTGGAGGCAGACTACTTGTCATGTCTCACTTTGCTTGTCAGAAATCCAAGTTTCAGGGGCATAACAATTATCCTTTTCTGCTTCTTTCCTTGATTTTAAAGTCCACATCTCTCCCATAAACAGCGGGAGATATTTTTAAAAGTGATAAGTATCAAGACAGGTGAGCTCAGGTGCTGGCCAAGTACGTGTCCAGGCAGGTTTTGAGCTGAGTCTTGGAATGCAGGGTCATAAAAGTATCCAAGAGACTTGCCTTACGCTTATTTACACTTTTTTGTAATTAATAATTTAATCCTCTGTTCAAGGTCCAGCTCAAATTTGACAAACATTACCCTGATCCACCCAACATGACTCCATCGTAAACACCTTCTGATGACCAGTCAGACTAGCTACTCCATTGATCGCATTCTGTTTAATTCTCTTAATTCTGCAAGCTTGGAATCAGAATCAGATCACAACCATCACTCACTCACACACACACACACACACACACACACACACACACCACCCTATCCCACTGCCCAAGCTCCATTTTACAGAAGAGGAAACAGGTGAATAACTTGCCCATGGTCACAATGGGCACAATTAAATGGAGCAACTGAAATTCAAAGGTGGGTTTAGGGAATTTCAAAACTTCCTGACCATGCCAGGCTGAGTATCTTGGGTTATATAGCACAATGCCTTACATGGCTAGCTGAGATGGTGTTCTCTTTCACCTGAGCATTTCTTGTACCTTTCACATTATTTATCTTTGTGCCTTGCCTCTTACATAGACCTTAGTTTCTCTGCTCCTAACTAAAGCACCTTTTGAAAGACTGCTTTTCAAATTTCACTTGACATATTAAAGAAAGGAGCTGACAAATGTTACCAGACTGAGCACAAAGCCCCTGACAGGCAGCCATCTGCTGCTGGGAGCTGGCCGGAGTTAGAGTTTTATGTTGATTGGACAGAGTTTTTTAACACCACGAGGTTGAGCTGTCCTCAGTTTATCAACACAACCACATCAGATGCTACCTTGGATTTAAGATCGGGATTTGAGAATTTCTCAGAAATAAAAGATACTGCATAATTATAAAATAGACTCATAAAATCCCAGCATTATGCAAAGTAGTGTCTGGCATTCTTAATGAAGCTCTGAAACTTGGGGATTAAAAACTCCATTGGTATAAAAGAATATAGTCGAAGGCTAAAATGTGGAAATGGAAAGGGATGAAATCCCTCAGAACAGGATTTCATCAATAGCTATCAATGCCTTGGAGGCCGCCTTTATTCTTTTCCAAACATAAAGGCATCCTGCCAGTCAGCAGCTGATGCTACACAGAGGATCTGGATGAGGCATTCCTGCAAAACAAAGGCCTTGTGTTCACCATGATCCAAACTCTGTAACATGATGGACAGACGTCAGGAACATTTTACCCCATCTTACATAAAACTGGCGAGGGAGACTCTGTGAGAGATGTTGGTAAGGGTCTCCCTTTGAAAAATATCAATTCTTCTAAATGAGTTCAGAACCACCACTCTGACTTTTTCCTTCCTCCAATATTTCCTGCGGGTAGTTTTGGCCCTTGATCTATTTTAAAATGAGATAAATGACAGAACAAACTATTTGATTTCTTCAAATAAAATGCAAAGGAACGAAAAGGTGTATTAGATTAAAAAATGCTTAGAGGCATACCATATGTGTGGACTGAAAAAGATCTTGATTTGAACAAATTTTAAAAGAATGAGAGTAGTGGAAAAACGTAACCAGTCTGGATATTTGATTAAATTGAGGAATTAGTATCAATCATTTTGGTATAATAATGGTGTCATCATTATGTTTGTTTAAGAAAAAAAGAAAAGAAAAAAGAAAGAGGCCTTTTCAACAATGTTTACTTCAAAATACTGAGAGGCTTGGGGAGAGAAGGTGGATACAGTGAGACGAGTGTATATAAATGGAGGTTGGCCACGAGGTGATCAAGAGTGGAGCTGGCTGATGAGTAGTAGAGACATCCACTCTTTACTTTCAGCCCTGTCTCCTCTCTGCTCTCCCTCCTACCCATGACTCACCACTTACTTGATCTTGCCTGTCTTTCCTGTCACTTAAACCAACACAGCTTCCCAGAATGCAAATCTTTGGTTTATTCAATTGGCTCGGTACGCTAGTATCTTATCTGTCATTTCTTTGTAACCCATAGCTTTCCTAACCACCTTCCAGTTCCAAGCCCAGTCACAGTAAGTTAAATACATGTATATGAATGTTGTTGTTGTTAAGTGCCGTCGAGTCGGTTCCGACCCATAGCGACCCTGTACAGGGTTTCCGAGGGTGTAAATCCTTACGGGAGTAGAAAGCCTCATCTTTCTCCCGCGGAACGGCTGGTAGTTTCGAACCGCTGACCTTAAGGTTCGCAGCCCGATTCGTAACCACTACGCTACCAGAGCTCCTTATGTATATGAATAGAATCCTCTTACTAAGAAGCAGCAAAGTCTAGGTCTTCCCCTAAGAAAACCAACATGAGGCAGTGTAACAGCACAAGGAAATCACATATGGAATTAAAAGACACCCTTACACTTAAGATATGAGGGGACCTCAAACAAGTCATGGAAAAGTAGAATTAAAAGATAATGGAATTCTTCACTAACTTTTTGAAGGCCCCCTCATAAGGCCTTAAGTTTCAAAACGACCCTACCACATCTATCTGCCTACAGTGCAGTTTATTGCTGATCCTTGGATGAAAGTGTCTTTATTTTCCTATGAAATCTTTGTTTCCTCCTTTCAAGATGGGAGTTACAGAAAATAAGACAACATACAAAAGAAACTGACTGGGAACCAATTTCACGTCTCTAGGGAACCACTGCTACTGGTTTTTTGGAAAGTGCTCTACTTACATGTAAATGTTACATATTTCTTTCGTTATAGACATACACTTTAATAGAAATGGAAGAATATGCTAAAACTGGTGTGCATCTTGCTTGCCACTTGACAATTCATTTTCCTTATAAGTCCATGAACCTTGAAGAAAGGCATTTTCAGGAACTAACGCAATACAAACAAAGAATTGACACATTCTTCTCCTGGTTTTCCTGGCGCTCAGATACGCACACAGACATGCGCAGAAGAGAATTCTACCCACCGCTTCCTCGTGCTCTTTCCAGCAATCGTAATCTGTTGCCATGGCGATACTTGCGTAGCAAATTCCAGCCTCTTTAGCAAGAACCACTTCTGGAACTGTGGTCATGTTGATAACATCTGCCCCCCAGGTACGAAACATGAAGCTTTCTGCTCGAGAGCTAAACCGAGGCCCCTCGATTGTGATCATTGTTCCCTTGGAATGACAGCGGAGTCCTAGTTTCTTAGCAGTCTCTATGAGGACCTGAAAGAGAAAGAGCCACAAACTCAAAACATGTCAACATGTGAACAGCTTAAGACTTAAACTCTCATGCTTAACAGATTAATTAAAGATGCTCAGAGAGAACCTGGAAGATTACAGAGGGTCTTTCCTAGGCCCCTACCTGATTGTACAAGGAGCCCTGGCTGGCGTAGTTGGTTACACTTGGGCTGCTAGCCACAAGGTCAACAGTTTGAATCCACCAGTTGCTCCATGAGAGAAAAATGAGGCTTTTTGCTTCCATAAAAGTTTATAGCCTCAGAAACCCTACACAGGGTCACTCTGATGGCACACCACCGCCCATTTCCATAACCCTTCATCTCACTCACTTCCTGCACTTACAGCTCAGATCTAAGAGCAACAGACATTTCTATAACCTAGGCATCTGTTTTTGTCTCATGTACTTCTCCCAACTTTAATACACTGAGTTGGCTCATGAATACAGACAACTTGAGTCTTAGCCATTAAATTAGAAGGCTAACCTAAATTCCCTCTCACCATTCATATCTCCCCAAAGAGAAGTCCTGAAAACATTCTCCAGGCTTCTGGAAGGTTCCATTCCATTGCTCTTTTATACAAAACCTGAAGACGTCTATAAAAGCTTTTTTAGTTAGTGATTTTTGCGTAATCTCTTTTGCTTGTTGGCTGTCCATGGACATATAGTAAAACCAGAATGGGGTTGTGCTGCTTCTCTACGTCTTAGGAGAAACTTATCTTGGCACCCATTTAGTGACAATGCCATGCAAAGATTTTAGAAACATTATTAAAAAGTATAATCATTTTGTCCAATGGTTTAATTAGTTACTGTCATCTAATCTTCAGGCTATTGATTTCATTTTTTCTTAGCCTGCATTTCAGTACTTTCCTTTTGATTGAAACAGCCAATCAAACAAACAAAGCAAACCATCTTTTAAACTTAACTACTAGTATCATTTGAAAAGTCACTTGACCTTCATGTCTTGTTTTTCTCATCTGTAAAATGGAATAACACTATTGCATAACTCAAGAGATGTTGCAAGGATTAAGTGAGTTCAGATATGGACAGCACAGAATTACGAGAGCGTACTGTAACATCTCATAAAAGCTAAACTGGGATGGACAGCTCTTGCCTAAGAATAAAGCTCAGAAAGCAGGGGGAAGCATGCTGTGACAATGTGGGGACTGCAATCAATGTCCTACAACAAGACGTGTAGGAATTAAGGTTTAAATTAAAAATAAAATAAAATAAAAATCAGAGCTAAGTGGTCTTTGCCTGGTTTTTATTAATGGCAGCTTCTATGCCTGTTTAAAAGATAATTGGCAAAGTTTCATGAGATACTATATAAAATGAAATACCTTTAAATCAGTCAAAAGCTCCAAATGGGTCAAATTCATGCCTAAACATGTGTTAGCACAGAAAGGAGTCAGCCAATTTTCTTGAAAATAAATCTGGTGCTACTATAATTACTGGACTGCTAACTACAAGGTTGGCAGTTCAAACCCACCACTTGGTCTGTAGCTGTACAGGCTTTCTGTTCCTGTAAAGATACAGAGCCTCAGAAACCTAACACAAGGTTGCTCTGAGCAGAATCAATTTGATGGCAGAGTTGAGTTAGAGTCTGCGATGAAAATTAGATAATGTTAACAAAGGCCGTGGCACCTTCAAATTTAAAACCACAAAACACTATAGCCAAGTTAATAGTGCATACTACAACATGCTTTTAACTCTTGTGAACATTAAAAATAAGATTATAATTGATCACAAAATGCTTCCTAAAAAAGTCTAAGGGCCTAAATCTTTTTTCCAAAATGAAAATATAACCAGCCTAGCCCTACTTTCACGAAATGTTTTTAAAGACGATGTAAAAGCATACTGTAGGTCTCAGACAAACTACAGAGTGTGCTTCTAGAGACAAGTGTCAATGCACGAGGGAAGATCACCACCTCTTCCTGCCAGTCTGAGGCTTCAGAATCACTCTGGAAATTAGGGACCACAGCCACCAGGAGGCGGTATTAGAGGAGGCTTATGGGAGTGTGCCAAACACAGGGCCTGCCCAGGATGAAAACTGACTTCATGTCAACATGCAAATCATTTATTTTGTCTACTTTTCCCCAAAGCTACCTTGATCTGAAGTCAGTGCCCAGTATAAATATTAATTGGACAGATCTGTGAACTAGCACATTGTACTTTCAAGAACATATAAGGCCAGAGTAAGGTAGCAGAAATGAAACTGGACCTGAAGGCATGAACACTTCATTTTCTTGTCTTGAATAATCAAAGTGGAACAAGCCTCCTGGTAGTATTGGATCACTGTACTAAACACGCTGAGTTTATCAGAGCTTCCAGGAATTTGCCTCAGACCACCTCCTACAATGTCTAGAAGTGACATTAGTTTGGAATCATACTTTTGCACACGGTCTAAAATGTACGTAGTACAAAAAGATCATTACTATTCTCTAAGGAATATTAATATCTCTACCCACGTTTTAGGAATCCAGTTCACCTCCTCAAGGGTGACCACTGTTAACCATATTTTGGGGGCACATTTACAGAGATTTGCCAGTAAACTTTTGCATATGTATCTCTTTACAAGTATGCACACAAGCACATTTTAGCACAACTGCGAAGATCTGATGAAACTGCTGTATACTCTGCAGGTGGCTTGACAATCATCTTGATAATTCCTCCGTTATCACTTGAAAGATAACGCGACAGTGAAGGTAAAAGGGATAGCTGCGACTTTACTGTTCCCATCTTTTGGACAGTATTTTAAAATCTCTTATAGAGTGTAGAAGAAAGTGATATTCCTCCATTTTAGTGATATTTCTCCACTTCAGAGTGCGTAAGAAGGAAGTGATGTCCCCATTTTTCTATAGTGTGTTTCCTAGGAATTTTTCAGTCCTTTTATGCAGTGCTTGGCTTGGCTGGAGCACTATTAGCGGAATTAATTTGGATTCAATGGAGGAAATCACCCAACTGCCACACTGGTGGCACAGTGGTTAAAAGAACAACTGCTAATCAATCAAAAGGTCGGCCATTTAAACCCACCATCGGCTCTGCAGGGCAAAGACAAGGCTGTCTGCTTCCAGAAAGGTGAAAGCCTTGTAAACTAGGCTTTCAGGGCAGTCCTATTCTACCCTATAGGGTCACTTGAGTCAGTATTGACTTGCTAGCAACAGGTATGGTACGTATAGATCATTGGCACTTCCCTGTCCACTTCTATACTCAGTTTTCTGTCTAGGAGAGAGATCAGATTTCATATAAACATACAAATGATCTCTTTAGTGTACTTCTCACCAAGCAGCCTTGATTTTGAAATAAAAAGGACTTTTCTCTATACTGAACCCCCCCACCAGAATTCAAATTGTACATTAATAGATTTATGTTTTAAAATCAATCTTCTACTTAACATACCTAAGTGCTGAAAGTATCTGAATGATTAGCATGTATTGATATTTAAATTCTCTAGAGAATGGAAGATATGCTGATGTATAAGAGCTGAACAGAAGATTGCAAAGGGTGGTTTGAGAAAACAGAGTATTATAAGAGAATGTGCAAAGACCTAGGGTTAGAAATCCAAAAGGGAAGAACACATAGTATTATCCATGTTGAAAGAACTGAGGAAACAATTCAAGCCTTGAATCGCAACATTGATGGATGCTATAGGCAAAATGGCTCTGGTAGCGTAGTGGTTACGAATCGGGCTGCGAACCTTAAGGTCAGTGGTTCGAAACTACCAGCCGCTCTGCGGGAGAAAGATGAGGCTTTCTACTCCCGTAAGGATTTAACACCCTCGGAAACCCTGTACAGGGTCGCTATGGGTCGGCTCCGACTCGAAGGCACTTAACAACAACAAACAACATAGGCAAAATACTGAATCCTGGAAGCATTAATAGAAGATGGAAGGGATACAGAGAGTCAATGAACCAAAAAAGAATTGGTTGATGTTCAATCATTTCATGAGGTAACATATGATCTGATGGTATTGAAGGTAAAAAACAAAGCTCCAGGAATTGATATTTCAACTTGTATTCACCTGTCAATGTCAAGAAATTTGGAAGACAGCTCACTAACTGGGATCCATATCTGTACCCATTCCAAAGAAATGTGATCTAACCGAATGCCAAAATTGTCCATTATATCATTAATATCACATACAAGGACAATTTTGCTGAAGAAAATGTTTAAATGACTGTAGCATTACACTCATAGGGAACTGCTAGAAATTCTAGCTGCATTTAGAACAAGGCCATCACTGGATATCACACTGATCTCAACTGAAAGCAGAGTATACTAGAGAGATGTTTACCTGTGTTTTACCGACTACACAAAAGCATTCGACTGTGTGGATCATAACAAATTATAGATAACATTGCAAAGAATGGGAATTTCCAGACACTTACTTGTGCTCATGCAGAACCTGTACGTAGACCAAGAAGCAGTTGTTTGCACAGAACAAGGGGATACAAAATATATTAAAATCAGGAAAGGTATGCATTGGGGTTGTATCCTTCCACAAAACTTAATCCAATAAACTGTATGTATGAGGAAGAATATGGACTCAAGACTGCAGAATCAACAGCCTACAAAAGCAAAGACTTGAAGCACTTACTGATGAAGATCAAAGACTACAGCCTTCAGCACGGATTATACCTCAACATAAAGAAAAATAAAATTCCTCATTAGGCCAGTCAAGCAAAGTTATCACAAAGACTGAAGTTGTCAAGGACGTTATTTCCCTTGGATCCACAATCAACAGCCATGAAGCAGCAGTCAAGAAATCAAATGATGTGTAAATGGGCAAATCTGCTGTGAAATACTTCTTTAAAATGTTAAAAAGCAACAAAGGATGCCACTTTGAAGCCTAAGGTGTGGTGACCTAAGCCATGGTATTTTCCATCACTTCATATGCACACGAAAGCTGGATAATGAACAAAGACCTAAGAGGACTTGATGCCTTCAAACTCTGGTGCTGGAGAAGAAGACTGACTAGCCCATGGATTGCCATGAGACTGAACAAACAAATCTGTGATTTTTGGAAAAAGTAAAGCCACAAAGCTCCTTTGTAGTGAGGTTGGTGAGACTTCCTCTCAGATTTTGGGCATGTGATCAGGGTAGATGAGTCCCTGGAGCAGAACATATTTGGTAAAGTGAAGGGTCAGTGGAAAACAAAAAGAAGACGACCCCCCAAGAGATGAATTGACACAGTGGCAGCAACAATGGGCTCCAACATGACCCACTGTGAGGACGGCGCAGGGCCGGGCAGTGGGTCCTTCTGCTGGACAGAGTTAACTGTGAATTGGCACTAAAATGTAGATTTTAACAGGAAGTTCACTTCTGACAATGCTTATCATCTGTTGGGATGTATTTGATTTTCAAATCTGGGATTGTAGAAACACAGAAAACTGCATGGTTCAATAATTCAACTTTCAGGTTGTGGCAGTCTTTTTTTTTGCCCTGTGATTTTCCATCAGGGCCCTCTATTGGCCATGGTGGGGCTAACCACTTAGTTCTGAGAATTTACTCTCACCTTGGAGAGGCTGGGCAAGGTCAAAGGTCAAATTCAGATCTCAGGTTAAAGAAGTCACTGTGACAATTTTTAGATGATCAATAACAATAAAATTTAATGAAAGCAGTTACCATTCATTGGATGCTTTGTTACAAATAGCAATGCTCACAATAAGCATTAATTGTTTTATTCCTCCTAACAGTTGTAAGAGGTAAAGCTATCCTAACCTTTATTTTGTAAATGAGGACACTTAAGCCCAGAGATGCTAAGTAATTTGTCCTAAGGCACACAGCTATTAAACTAAAGATCAGATATCTGATCCCATGCAATTTGATTCCAGACTCCTTTCTCTTGCTTTTGTTGTTGTTAAGTGCCGTCGAGTAGGTTCTGACCCATAGCGACCCTGTATAGGGTTTCCGAGGATGTAAATCTTTACAGGAGTAGAAAGCCTCATCTTTCTCCCGCGGAGCGGCTGGGAGTTTCGAACTGCTGACCTTAAGGTTTGCAGCCCGATTCGTAACCACTACGCTACCAGAGCTCCTATTCTACACTAAATCTGTTAAGGGGTTTTCCAAAAGCAAAATCAAAATTTAGAAAAAGGAAATTACAATTTTGAGTGGCTCAGGTAAGAAATGATTGAGTAGTGGAGTCATTATTAGAAAAAAGAAACCCCAAACCAAACCAGTTGCTGTGAATTTGATGCTGACTCATGCCATGTAGTTAATTCTGACTCGGAGCCAGAGCAGAATTGTGCACCACAGGGCTTTAAATTGGCTGATTTTTCAGGAATAGATTACCACAGTTTTCTTCCAAGGTTACCTCTGGGTATACTCAAACTGTCAACTTTTGGGATATCAGCTGAGTATTAAGCTGTTTGCACCACCCAGGGACTGCTAAAGGAAAACAACTCTACAAAATTTGGAGAAGGGAAGAGTGATCACCAGCACTCTACCTCTACATGCCACCCCAAGGAGTTCTGGGGGCATTGCAGGATGATCAGTGGGCTGCTAACCTCAAGGTCAGCACTTTAAACTCATTAGTCACTTCACAAGATGAGGCTTTTGGCCTTTCTGCTCCTGTAAAATTTACAGCCTTGGAAACACTTTATAGCAGGGGTGGGGGACTGTTTTTCTGCAAAAATGTTAACATCATTCATGGGCCATACAAAATTATCAACTTAAAAATTAGCCTCTATCTTTGGTCAGACATTTAATTAACTCATGGGATGGCTGGAACTGTGGTTGCCTTGGCAGGGCCAGACCAAAGGATTCATACAACCCGAGTGCCAGATGTTCCCCACTCCTGTTCTATAGATGGCTGCGTCGGAACTGACTGGACAGACAGCACACAACAACATGACGCCACGCCAAACCCCTGTGGTTGATTTTCATATACCTTCCAGAGAGTCTACAAACCTCTCTCGTCTTGGGGCAGAATGGCTCAGCCATTGGAATATGGCAGACTCCTCTAGCACAGGAACGGCTCCCATCGTAGAAGGTCTGAGGCCTTATGGAGGTCCTACAAGATAAAGTGAAAAGTTTGCTTGTTTCCATAGTCATCTCTCTAGCACACAGAGGCTGGTGATCCATCGTATCTAGATCGACAGCTTGGTCTTGACTCCAGAATCAACAGCTCTAGATCAGAAGACAAACGGCTAGAAAGCAGCTTTTAGAGGGTTTTAACATTTGTGCTCTGGGCTGGCAGCAACATGTGCCTCCCCAGGAATTTCAGTGTTTGTGATCTGGCTGCTGTGCCAGGCTGTGCGCATGCACAACTCAATCCTGAGCTCAGGGAGCCCAGAGAAACTTTTAAGAAGGCAATAGGAAAATGTACAGTCATCACAGACATAGAGGATTACATAACGAACCCCATTCGACCATCACCCAGATTCAAACATTTTCAAAATTGGTCAAATGTGCTGTTATCTTCATCATGGTTGCAAACCCCAGACCTCACTACCCTACTTCAGATGGCTTGTTGCTGTTGTTGTTAACTGCCGTCGAGTCGATTCCGACCCACAGCAACCATGTATAGGGTTTCCAAGGAGCAGCTGGTGAGCTTGAACCATTGACCTTGCTTGTAGTCAAATGACTTTGCAGTCTGATGCATTAGCCCACAGCGCCACACCAGGACTCCACAGATGGCTTTGTTGTTGTTGTTATTAAGTGCCGTCGAGTCAGTTCCAACCCACAGCAACCCTAGACAGGGTTTCCAAGGCTGTAAATCTTTACGGGAGCAGAATGCCTCATCTTTCTCCCGCGGAGCAGCTGGTAGTTTCAAACTGCTGGCCTTAAGGTTCGCAGCCCGATTCGTAACCACTACGCTACCACACCACCTTACAGATGGCTTAGAACATGTGAATTATTCTCCATCAAAATGGCGCTATCACCACTGATAAAAAATAACACTAATTATTCATGATCACCTAATATCAGCCTATGGAGTCCTGGTGTGGTGCCGTGGGCTAACGCACTAGACTACAAAGTTAGTTTGAACTGCAAGGTTGGCGGTTCAAGCTCACCAGCTCACTGCTCCTTGGATACCCTATACAGGGTCGCTATGGACCTAAAGCGACTTGAGAGCACTTAAAAACAACAAACACCAGCCTATACGCAAATTTCCCAGCTGGCCTCAAGAATATCTTTTTCTAACAATTGTGTTGCTAGTTTCAGAGTCCAGATGTGGTTCTTACCTTAGCATTTGTGACTGTCTTGTCTGTAATATTGAGAGTGACTCCTACTCTCCTGCCCCGGCTTATTTTCTTAGGCCACTGACCCACTGTACAAAGAAGTCACGGTTCTGCCCTATTCTCAAAGTTCTCTCTTTGCTGACTGTTTAATGTGTTCCTCTAACTTGACATGATGAGTTCAAAAACCTCTCAAGATTTCAACTTTTTGGTAAAACATTTTGTATCAACATAAGAAAGGCTAACACAAATTCCAGTGGCAAATCATCCAGCTCTTTCTCACCAGAAATTCTCAGAGTGAATCACTTTCTGTGTTCATTCCATTGTTCTACACTTCAACCCATGAGTAAGACAGGAAACGGAAGGTCTTCAATCTTGTCACAGAGGGAAGGCGAGATTGGGTGGGGGAAGCCAACAGGGGAGGGTAAAATGCCCTTTCATGTCCTCTGCTGTGGGAGGGTGGGAAACACCCCTGAGCAAGTTTTACTGGTCTAGAGAGGTCATTTCCCCATCTAAGTTAACCATGAATTCCTTCCACTCCTTGGCATGCCAAGCAGTAACATCAACTGGCACCAAGGCATCTTGCCCTGTGATGAGACCTCGCACCGGGGAGGAACGGAGATCTGGTATAGAGGTCCCCATATCCTTTGTGTCTTAAGGATAAGGCTAAGTTATTCCCTCCCCTATAACTCCAGATGGGGTTGAAGAACAGATGTCTGTTACAGTCTATATAATGAAGGCTTTTTCTTTTTGTAAAACACACCAATAAAATGATGTCATTCCAGCTTTGGCTTGGCTTCAGTCTCCAATGAGGCAAGTATTAGCAGCAGCCCCACTCACAGCAGGGATTAGTGTGAAGATAGGGCTGCAGACCACCCCCATAGAAGGCGGTGGTTACTGCCCACCTCACCATCACAGTACTCTCTTCCACCCAGCCCTTCATGGCTTCATTACTCTTCCTTGTTTGGAACTTTGACCTTAAGACATACTATTTATTTTATTATATTATACTTACCTATGTAATATGCATGTGATATTTACTATGGGAAAGACCAATTCCCTGTCGCAGACATTTATATTTTCCTCTTTAAACAAAGCTAACTATCATTTATATGATGTACAGCAAACGGCCCGACCCTTCTGTCTCTCCATTTTCTCATAATGACATATGGTAATGCTCTTCTTATTTATGAGGGCACTACTGGTGTGGCGCTGTGGGTTAATGCACCAGACTGCAAAGCCGTTTGAACTGCAAGGTCGGCGGTTCAAGCTCACCAGCTGCTTCCTGGAAACCCTATACAGGGTCGCTATGGATTGGAATCGACTCGACGGCACTTGACAACAACAAAACCAGGATTAAGGAAGCAGTGGTGGTTCAGGGTGGAATTCTCACCTTCTGTGGTTGAGACCTAGGTTAGATTCCTAGTCAGTGTACCTCAGAGGTAGCTTGCATGTTGCTGATGCTGAACCGGTTTCGGAAGAGTTTCCAGACTACGAAGAAAGGCCTGGCAACCAATGGCCAAAAATCCGCAACGAAAACCGTATGGACCCAGTGGTTTGAGCTGCAAGCCTTCAAGGGGAAGACACAGGGCCAAGGAGCATTTTGTTCTGTTGGGCCACGAGTTGGGGCTTACCTAACAGCAACAGTGCCATGAGAACTAAGTCAGATATCCACAGAAGCTTAGAAAGGAAGGTCTGGGCTAGGGAAAGAGGTGGGAGTCAGCACCAAGAAAATCACCCAACCAATGAAACAAAAGCTGTGGCTGGAGGATCGAGTCTCAGAATGCCAAGCTTGTCAGGAGCTGGTTCTGGGAAAGAAATGACGGCATTAAACTCAACGCCGAACGAAACGTTCTTTGATGGGACCAGGAATGGGAGGGGGTGGGAGGAAAAACCATTCACAAGGGAGGAGATGTGTATTTACTAAGGTGAAGGTCGGCACACTGTGACCAAGGACAAGAAAGACACTAGGAGGTGCACAAGAGTTAAGGCAATGAAGGTGGATACTATTACATACATAATCCTGCAATAACAGTAATACACAGTAACCTATGAATGGACACATAGGTAGACATGCAAACTGAATAGCTCTGCGAAGACGAATAGACTACACCCGTGAGCATACATAGATTTGGGAGAGGATATTTCTCCATCTGTATTTGTATGTGCTATAAATAGATCCATGTACGTAGTAGAGCATACAAGGAGAAAAGTTATGAAAACTTCTTAACTACAACTAAAGAACGTGAGGGAAAGAGTCACAAGGGCTTGGGGACTTAGGACCATATTCTCAAGGGTATCTAGGTCTACATCCTACTTTGGTGGGTAATGCCTGAGTGCTGACAAGCTTTTAAGCGGCCATCTACGATGCAACACTTGGTCTCCCCCTGTCTGGAGCAAAGAGTGAAAAAAAATCCATGATTCCAGAAAACTATGCAAGGGACCACTGAGCCATGTGAACCACAGCATCCAGCATCCACTGCCAAGACCACTCTGAGTGGGATCACAATAGATGTTCTTGGACAGAGTGGGAAAAAAATATAGAGCAAAATTCAAATTCACAAAAAAGATCAGACTTACTTGTGTGAGAGAGGCTGGTGGAGCCCCGAGACCATGGCTCGTAGACACCCTTCAAATCTGAACCCACCCTGGGGGGTCACCTCTCACCCCAACCATAGACAGGAACTTATTTCTTGTAGCAGCCAACCACTTGACAGTAAAAGGCAGCATTTGACCCAAAACCAAAACTCAGAAGGCAGGAAGAGGCAGGAATGAAGGAAGGAATGGAAACAGGAAACCCAGGGAGAGTGTTGTTACACTGAAGAGATTGCAACTAATGTCATAAAACAAAATAAATTGTTGACTGGAAAACTCACTTGCTCTGTAAACTCTCATCCAAACAACAAAAAAACCCTACCAAAAAAACTATTAGTTTCGGGGTAGTCTAGCAAGAAGCTAGAAGAGAAGGCGCAGGTGAGAGGTGCCTGTTTGCCATTGACTTGTGTGGTTTTGCATAACTAATCTGTGCCCACAGGGTCAATGAAACATCTAATGAGCTAAAGTCATCAAATCATCATCTACACATCCAGCATAACATGAGGAGGCTCTTATTACTCCTGCTGAAAGACTGACTGAGAGGAATGGGGCTTATAACCTCCCATCAACCAAGGGAAGCCAGAGAAGGATAATGTGTGTGACTTTCGGAATTCCTGTCTTCTCCCCTGTTCATTATAGAGAAGTCAGGTGTCTGGCACGGCTGCAAGTTGAGGATACTTGTCAGTGAAGTCCTCAGAGATGGACTTCTGTCCCTCTCAAGCCTGGACAGGTGCCTTACCACCTGCCAGTTCACACCACAAAGGTACTCCCAAAGTCTAACCAAGATAACTCTCCAGTCAACAGAATTATAGTTCACCCACAGGCTGAACTTTCTCAGGGATGCTGAAAATGTGAGAAATCGACTTTTGAACCTGGATTTGAATCTTATTGCTGAATTTCTCTGTGACTTTGAGCAAATGAGTTAATCTGTGATGAGCATTAGCATTCACACTCTTGATTGCCATCAGTTTTGATTCTTAGCCCCCTCTCTGTGTGCCAGAGTAGAACTGTGCCCCATAGGGTTTTCAATGGCTGGATTATGGGAAATTGATCACCAGGATGAAAGGTTAGAGGCTACATCACCCAGGAACTCCTTAGATGAGGACATGGCTGCAAAATACCCCCTTCTTACATGTTAACTGTGAGACTGAGGCCAGGTAAGACTTGTTGCAAAGCCTTAACTACTATTGCTTTGAGTATTACTGAGGAACAGATCCAGCCCGGGTACACAGTATAC